ATTCAAATAAATTCGAATATTACGGGATCACAAAATTATTTAATGTTATCGAAAATAGTATGTGACCTTGGCCGGAGAATTAGCCTCGGAAATTCTCGGCGTATACACAAAGGTGTATTTCATTATTAGCCAATTTTTCGTCAAATCGAGCCAAAAAAATCAAATTTCATTTCAGGACTTATGATCTTACATGAGGACGTTTGAAAGTTTCCACTGAATTTGAGACGTCTAAATCTTCAATTAAGATCTTAGAAAACTCAAATTAAACCTTTCAAAAACCTTCTTTGAATTTTTTTTTTCATTTAAAATAACATTCAGTTATCTTGGGTGCGTATAAAAATGAAAAGAAACGTAAGAACAATTCAAAGCTTCTTTGTTGTTTTGAATTTTGAGAGCTTTTTTACCGTGTCATGTGCCAAAGAACCACATTATTTCGAATGATGATGTCAGAAAAACGTCTATAAAAATCTCACAGGCATGAAGAAATAAGTACTTCTCGAAATAAAACTATTTTTCCAATCATTAATAAATACGAAAAACCGAAATCTTCGATTCCCCGTTTCTAAAAAAATTTCAACATATTTCCATGTGCACCTCAATAAAATAGATAAAAATAAATAATAAGTAGGCTAGGATTAAAATAGACATTCATGTTCGAAGTTCAATACCAGAAATACAGGAGCTCAGTAAGATAAAATGCAAAGAATTTTAGTTCTTATTTCCTCTGCAAAATACATTTATAAATTTTCCAAATTGATAGTGTCCAAATGACGCTGTCGCACTCCACACTATTGAGAAATATCAAGCCTCAGCAGGTAAAATGTTTTCCGTGTCCATTATATTTCAATTAATAATAATTCTGATTTATTTATTCATTATTATAATGCTCGATACGATGATTGATTGCTCATTGAGTAATTTTTTAAATCAAAAGAAATAAGGGAGCTCCGAGGTTCAAATCCTGGTCTGGACTATTCATTTTTTCAGTAAATTTTTCATGTAAAATTATATCGATGATTATCCTGTTTTCCTTCCTCCCAAATCTACAATCCGTTCCAACCATTTCCTGTGACGTCAAAAAATGCGGAACGCTATCAACATTTCCCGTCTTCGATACAAAAAGCAAATACAGCTGCTCTGCTATGGTCAGTACGCCTATCAAAAATTTTTGTTTTCCGTAAATGATAAATACTGTTGATTATTCAGCGTTTCATGTAATTTTTTTAGCCAATGAACATGAAAGTATAAAACTATTATCTTCATTCTATATCTCGCTCATAAATTTTTTTTCTTTAGATTTATTGAGTTAATGAGGGAGAACATGAAGAACTGTATGAAGCTAGCCTTAAAGTTGAAGAAAAAAATATCTTGTAAAAATAGAATTATCACAAGCATATCTGCATGTCCCTTTAAAGAAATCTCACCGAAGATTCCTCTGCTTATCGTTCGGAGACCAATTATACAATATAGCCTGCCTTCATTCGGCCTCCTGCAGCTCCTGTGGCCTTCTCGCGGAT